GATGTTTTTTAAAAAATTGGCAAAAATGTAAAATTTATGAAAGTGTAACAATTGAAAAATCTTAATTTTCTTGTGGTGAGCACTGAAAATAAATGTAGAAGGAAAGAAAAAATTAAGGAGAAAAGTAAGCAAAAATTTGAAGGCGAATTTGGCTGTCAGAAAAACCAAGGTGTTTAGAAAAGTTGGATGCTTTTGAATATACTTTCAGAATTCAAGGAATATGGGTGTTGAAAGAGAAAACACTTGGATGTGTACACCAGCAAATACCATCAACTGAGCTTATGCTAACGGAAAAGACAAAAATGATATCATTGCAGATTAAAGTGAAGAGTGACTGGTTTTAGACTATATGTTTGTATAAATTTAAATTGCGTTACAGAACATCATATCATAAATGGAGAATCCCATGATTTCTTAGTCAAATTATTTGAATATTCAGGAATTTATACTGTGATGTATGTGGATGTCACCCAAAGACATTTTCCCTCTTGATAAAACCAGTCTTTCCTTTCATCTCATGCCTAGCCTCTAAAGACTGATAAAGGCTCTGACAAATACTGATTAAATGGATTGAATTGGATTATTAAGTTACAGCAAAGCAGAGCTATCTGCCTAAAAGGAGGGATGCCGTTGTGAAGAACTTTCTAAGGGAAACCAGCTGGCATACACGTTATAAACACGAAAACGCCCATGAAACCAGCCCGTCACCGGGATTCGAACCCCGGAGCAAACTACCAGTGTTCAGCGACTTTACCGCTCGGCCATTTCTGGGCCTCTATGAAATGGAAGGTGATAATTTTATTTAAAATGAATGTCAGAAATACTAAGATGTTTCAAAAAGTTGGATGCTTTTTAATATACTTGCAGAATGCCTGTAGAAAAAGAGCAAGCCATTAAGAAGAAAAAAAAAAATTGCATAAAATTTAGTATTTCTTTTTATTTAAAACTTTTTAATCTTATGATATTTGATTCTTGTGATTTCAAAAATAAAATATTTGACTGAAATATGAATAACATTTTTAAGAACTAAATGTTAGATGATATAATTGTGTAAAGCAATGAGCACAATGTTAAAGCTATTTAAAGCAATATATGCAAGTCATCATCCTAAGTTAAAATGTCAGTGTTATATATTTTTCTCATTTATATATCTTTTCTGAACGGAACATTGAAAGGCGTGTTAACTGTGCTTTACTGTATTTTCTCTTTTAATATATTCAGTTTTCATATGCATCGTAGTCACAAAGTATTCTTGGGAAAGAAACACAATTCAAATAAATGAAATCAAATCGTGGAAAATTTATATTAATAAGTATATTTAAAATGCTCAGTTTGAATGAATAAATAGAAAATTTTAAAACAAATATCTGAAGAGACAATGCAACACAAACAATTAAAATAAAAGTCTGAAAATTAAAAAATTACCTAAAATAATAACTATGACCAAAAAAAAACTATAAAGAAAACTATTTGAAAAAAAATAAACGAAGCACCTTTTATTTAAACTAGCAGTTCGAATGGGTAAATAGAAATATTTAAAACAGTTACTTGAAAGAAACCACGCAACTAAAGCAATTAAAATGAAATTTGAAAAAGAAAACATTACTTTAATAATAATTATAATTAAAAATATAGTATAAAGAACATTATTTGAAAAAATCTGATGTGTACACCACATGACTTCCTTGTACGAAATATTAAATTATATGCATTTTTCTTGCATTTCATTTAAACTTATTGGATTGAATTAAATCTACTTCGTCGATAGCGCATAAACCACAATAGAATAAATGCACTCTTCAAAAATCCACTATATTTGTTTACTATAGAGACACTCTGGCTCTAGGTTCACTTAACAGTGTTATATTTTGTTCGTATAATAACTCAGAATGCACAAAATTTATATCATTTGAAGATTTATCTAATCATTGCCACATGTTCTATTCAAATACTGTAATATATCTAGAATGATGTAGAAAAGAAATTAAGCAAACAAAACAGAAAAGAAACAGTTTTTCACAAACGATTCAGTATTTCTCATTCAATTAATTCAGTTCTCACTTCGCGACAAGGCAAAAATACATAAAAACTCAAAATATCTATATTAAAAATTACAAATTAAATTTGAAACACTTATTTCCTCGAAAAAATTCTACAAAGGATTAAGTATGATTTAATTCGCAATAATAAATGAAGGCGTTGTCTTTGTTGTTGCGAAGCTTAGTCTCTCTAGATTGGCAACAAATCTACTATTTTGCTGTTTCAAATGTAAACAAATGTGTCCACCATGTTATTTAAAAATTAGGCTTAAATGCACTTATACAGCTTTTAAATTGTTGATAAGTCTACAAATACTGCTTGCAGATTTCCTAAAGGCATAAAAACCTTAACTTGAAGATAAGAACAACATAATTCAATCTTTTTAACCACTTGCCTGATTATCCCGAGTTATCCCGGGTTCGTATATATTGCAGGTAATTATTATCCCGTGAAAACTCAGGCGAAGCAGAATTTGTTAGTATGATTTGTTTTATCACGGTTTTACTCGGCCTGAAGAAAACGAAAGGAAATATTCGGCTTTGATTGGCAGTTTGCCAAATTTTGTTGGTTGCACGGTTCTTTTGGTCACATGTTTCCCTATAGTATACGTCGGCTTGTGGATTAGTAATGTATAAAGAAGGATACATGCGTTGAAAAAATAAAATAATGGCCATGATGCAAGATAGCGATAATTTTTCAGATAGTAATTATGAAAGGTGGGGAGAAAAATTTTTTTTTTAAATCAAATTCAATGAGACAGTATACTCTGTGCTCCCGTGAAAGAGATTCTAGTGGTAAGCCAGTAAGAAAAAGAGACCAGATACCAATGTAGAATGTCAGGTATCACTTTGTGTTGTCGTTTGCTTGAGATAACTTGGGATAGCAAACTAATATTAAAACTAAATGCTTTTACACCTACAAAAAATTAAAAATTCAACTCAAAACCTACATACTTTGATTTGTTTCGTTGTATTTAATAATAAAATAAAAAAATGTGATGATTTTTTGCAATTTTTTACAAAAAAATTTTTGAGGGAAGCGGTTAAAGCAAAAAAATGCACAATTTACAAACATATAAGAGTAAAGAAACTGAGCTGGGTAACAGAGTGGATATATATATATAAATATATTTATATAAGTTTGGCACTGCCGATTGCAACCAAAATACGAAATGCACATCTACATGTTATTGCAGTCCTATATACAACATTTCAACGTTCTGAAAGTACTCATGTTTGAGTTATGCGAGATACGTACATACAGACACCATGAAAAATTCTCTTTAGAATTCATTTTAAAACAGTTTTATAATCTTTTTGGAGGAAAAGAGTCTTTTATTCTGTCCTTACTTACAGATGTTATGCAAAAATATCATTAAATTGCATTCAAAATGGATATCTTCGTTGAAATATGCTGCCCGAAACTTTTCGCAATTACAATACTTCCTTTTTACTTTGTACAAGGAAGTAAAAAAGGGAAAAGGAAAATAGGTTGTTATATATTAAGAAGTTTGCCAAGTGAACTATTCTTTGCGCTGAAATAAAAGCAGCAATGTAAATTTGTGAATTTCTCCGTAAATTTCGCACCAAATTTTACAAAATTTCATATTTAGGCATAATTTGAATCGAAACATGGAAAAAAATTGGTATGTTATGCCAGAAAAAGTCCAATTTTGTGTCAAAATAACTGTGTGAGAATACTATATATACACCTAATATATATCCTAAGTCACGCTTTCAAGACATGAAGAACGCAATTTGAATTTCGTCAATCGGCCTAGTAGAACGGGAGATATAGAACTGTCCTCTTCCCCCCCTGCAATGTACATGTGTGCTGCATGCATACCTAGGTTGCCAAATAAATACTTTTTGGAGATATAAAGTGTTATCTCATATTTTTTAAACTTTTTAGAGGGGAGTGTGAATAAATGGAAAGTACCAAAAGTGGTTTAAAAATAGCATTTGAAAAAAATAAGTGAATTACAGAGGTTAATTATTGTATAATATTGAATCTGTTATAGCAAGTTAAGATGCCGTTGAATGTTTACAAAATTTAGTTTATCATTTACTTCATTTTTTATGCATTTTGGATAATACTTCAGTAATGCAGTAAAATTCCAATAATCCATATTTCAAGTTCGAGATCACTATTTTGGCCTAGCAAGTCTGGTCTTGGTGTTAATTGATTTATGTATTTTTCTTTCTTTTAAATAAAAGGATATTAAAACTTAAGTAGCATTACTGTTTTCAGCAAATGTGTAAAATCATGACACAATCAGGCCTTAGAAACTGACAATGAATAGAATGAATATGAAAGTGCACTTTATAATCTTATGCACTTAGCAAAAATTGCCACTGCATGAAATACGAAATCTTCATAATCTTATACACTTAGCAAAAATTGCCACTGCATGAAATGCAAAATCTTTATCTTCTATATGTTTCTTACATACAGCTGATTCTCAGAGTGTTGCTAAGCAAAGCATTATATGTTGTCTTTCTCATTTAATCATTGTGCATTTGATTAAGCTGAAGGATTTAAAAGCAATGAAAGATGTTTTATTCATATAAATTAAAACAAATTTAGTTTATATCTAGCTGGTAATTTTTATGAACATTTGCAGTTTTGTTTTAATTAATAAATATTTTTATTTTATATGTAATAATATAACTCATATAGAATCTTTTTTCTTAATGTTTCACAACCTCAAATTTCATGCACAGTCATGAACTTGACACCTATAAAATTCTCATTCATCAGGGTTCGTACACATTTCTGCACATGGAAATCAAAAACTTTTAAAGGTTATCAATGAAAAAAAATTAAGAACCTATCAAGCAAATAGGAACTGAATAAACTAAAGTGTAATAGTATTTATGCAGTATTATCTGTAAAACATGTTATTTTTATTATTTGTTTTACTGAACTTAAATCTTTTCAGCATGTCTTACTTTTTTCAGATTTGGAAATAAGGTTTTAGAAATGGTTATCTCCAACTCAATATTGCATCAGGAATATATCATTGTATAACTGACACCTGTTATCTGTATGTACTTTTGTTGAAATAAATAGCGATTAAATATTATTTATATTACAAATTTTATAGTATAGTCAACATGTGAAGTTTTATATATTTTTTGAGTAAGTAAATTAATTAAAGCCAAGCTTTGAAACAAGAAAAATTATCTTTTTTTTTTTTTTTAGTGAGAAACATGACAGTAAATACTACTTAGGTAATTTCACCTTTACTGCATTTTTATAGAAAAAACTGACTACAGATATAATGTATAAAATATTTACCAAATTGAGAATAATTACCGTTATTGAGAAGGTCTTAAGAAATATTAACTATACTTATTCTTTCATCCTGCCTTATGATTTGCAAGGTCTTCCTTTCAAAAAAAAATTTATTCGGGTGTTTATAAGGAAGAATAATTCTTCTAGCTTGCTCCCTATTTATTATGCACAGAAGCCATATTTTGAAATCTTTAAAACAGGAGGGGCATGAAAAGGGGGAACTATGTAGTGACTTTCATCTGTATTTCACGTAGATGATAAAATATTCCATTCTAATTGCAGCCTTGATGAATTACATATATGTTAAGACCTCAAATACCAGGAATGAATAATTAAGATTCAATATAAAATTAATAATTAAGATTTTTGATATATGAAATTTACTACAGATACTCCAAAACAGTTCAAACTCATGATGTTAACAAGACAGAACTTATCTATGAGGAAGGGGGATACTTTTTTAACCCAAAATCTTTGTTTTTATTCAGGCAAAGAAAAGAAATAAATCAATTTATCTGATACAAACATTAAGATGCATAATTTTTCATGCCCGGAATTTATTTTTTTACATTGCAGTTTCATACCAAAGGCTGCAAATATTTAGTACATATCATCAGAATGTAAAACTCCCATCATGGTTCATATATGAATTTAAATTTTCATAAAAAATACCTTTTATTTGGTAAACTTAACACAAGTACTAGTGTTGGTGTATCTTCATGAATCATAATTTGTCAAGTTGATGTCAAGTTGTTTTCAGGGAACAGGTTGGGAGAGTAGTAGAATTTCAAATCAAAACTTCAAGATTTCACAGAAATAACATTTATTAACGATAAACTTAATGTTATAGTATATTACTTCCGCGTATAGCGGCCATGAAAACATAATCAAGCATCAAAAGGGTATGACATGCGTCATTCTTCAAGTTCAAGCATCAAGTGGAATATTTTTCATCAGCGCGCATCAAGAGTGCCACCTATCTACCGAAAAGATGGAACGTACTCCGCCCCAATGAACATTGGTTCATTACAACATTATTATAGATCTTCAATTTTAGATTCAAACAAGTTTCCCGAACATTCAACAGTATATCATATAAAATAAAAATGTATAATGACAAATTTAAATTGAATAACAACATTAAATTTAGAACAAAATTTTACAAATAAAACATACTTACAATCTCTAGAAGGAAAACAAAATAATGAAACTGCTAAATTACCATAATCCACAATTGTGGTCCATTCTCTGAATCTGAAACATAATTGAATTAATAACAGTTAAGACACAAATTATGAATATGCAATTAATTTTTTTTTTTTTTTTTTTTTTTTTTTTTTTTTTTTTTTTTTTAAGAGTCTTATTCACTCAATGGTAAGCGGGAAAGTTTATGTATAGGACGCTTCATTTTGCCCAATAAAGTTTTTAGTTTCACAACACGAACTTTTCCATCAGCACCAGGATATAGTTCAATTACTCATCCAAGTCGCCACTTTAATGGAGGCAAATTTTCGTCCTTTATCAAGACTAAGTCATCGAGGGCTAAATTTGGTTTATCCCTCAACCATTTGGTACGCTCTTGTAATTGTGAAAGATAATCTCTAGACCAACGTTTCCAAAAGCTCTGGAAAATTTGCTGTGTCAATTTCCATCTTTTAGCAGGGGTTAGCTTATTATTTGTAAGATCAGTTTCAGGAATTGATGTTAATGTAGTCCCAATTAGGAAATGTCCAGATGTTAAAGGATTAAAATCTTCAGGGTCAGATGAGATGGAAACTATTGGCCTGGAATTCAAACATGCCTCAATTTGTGTAATTAAGGTGTGAAATTCTTCGTATGTCAGAACCTGGGTCCTAATACTCCGCTTTAAGTGAATCTTTGTTTCACTCCAGCCTCCCAAAGGCCTCCAAAGTGAGGGGCAGCAGGAGGATTGAAGATCCATTGAATATTTTCACCGCTCAGGTAGTTTTGAAATGCTTCCTCAGAGGAAAGTGTAGCTATGTATCTTCTTAACTCTCGATCAGCCCCAACAAAGTTGGTTCCTCTATCTGAGATCACTGACTACTTCTAGGTGAATGGCCTTTGTGGTGAAGCATATGTAAAGGCAAACATAACATTTATATCTCGTTCCCCCTCTTCCTTTCCTAGCTTTAATTAAAAAGGGGCCTGCAAAATCTAGTCCTGTATTTGAGAATGTTCTATCCGGCAATACGCGATAAGCAGGTAGGTCGCCCATTATCTGACTGGATGTGCTTGTTCGATTTTTAAAACATTTTATACATTTCAAAAATTATTTTTCTTACAATTTCTCGGCCATTAACGATCCAATATTTCTGTCGCAGAGCAGATAATGTTAATGTGGCTCCTCCGTGAAGGTTCACTTCGTGAAAGTGTTTGACTATCAATTCAGTAACTTGGTGACTTTTGGGAAGAATGATTGGATACTTTGTGTTTTCTGAAAGATTCGAGTTACAGAGTCTACCACCGACTCTAAGGATTTCTTCTCTATCAAGAAAAGGATTTAATTTCAGGATTTTACTGCTGAGATTCAATTTCTTCCCTGCTTTCAAAAGTCTAATTTCTTCTCTAAATTCGGAATTTTGCATGATTTTAAAAATCAAATTGCTTGCCTTATCCAATTCTTGAACTGTTAAAAAACCCTTGAGTTTTAAAGATGTAGGTTTAATATTGTGGCAGAATCTTAAACACCATGCAGTTACGCGTTTCAATTTTTTTTCCAGGATGAAAACCTGGATGTCAATTCAAATTCAACCTCTTGGACTAATAACAGAATATACAGTAGTTTGACGCTGTTCTACCTGTACCTCTTCTACCATAGGCTCGATCAAAGGATCAAAAGATGATGAAGGTAATTTTTCTCCTTTAACCACACTGGTCCATTGAACCAAAGTTTATTTTCCCACTAGATCAGAAGCTCTTAATCCACGTGAAACTATGTCAGCCGGATTGTCATTTCCCTTACAGTATTTCCATCCATTGCGAAGGTGATACAACATCTTGTATTTCACGTACACGATTAGCAACAAAGGGTTTCCATTTATCAGCGGTACCCCTGATCCAGTGAAGAACAATTTTAGAGTCACTAAAACAAAATACATTATCTTCTTGGATATTAAATAATTTCCTTAACTATTCTTGCGGCAATAATGGCCCCCATAAGTTCTAAACGAGGCAAGGTTAATTTTTTAAGCGAGGATACACGGCTCTTTGAAAGCACAAAAGACGCACAGCAAGAATCAGGATCACGAAAATATACAACAGCTCCATATCCCTTGAGGCTGGCGTCACAAAAGACAAAAAGCTCTCCCAATCAATACCCAATTCCCATAACTCTTGTAATAAGAATTTTATTCTGATAACAAAAGGTGCAATGAAGCCAACTGGGTCATAAATTTTTGCCTCAATCTGTAATACCTTTCGCTTCTTAACGTGTTTCCAGTCAACTGGTTGTAAAAGTTCTTGTACATCTAATTTCAATGTGTCCTCATCCAAATCCCAAATTATTCCCAGCACCTTTAACGTTTTCTTATCCAAATTGTCTTCCTTATTAATTAAACCAATATCTTGCCAATGATTTTTTAAAGATACGGAATTTGATTCAAATTTTCTTAAGTTCATACCAGCGTCTTGAAGAATTTTAACTGCATCAGTTGATAATGAGAAAACTTCTTCAACGGAGTCTGCTCCATGGATAAGGTCATCAACATATAAGGACTTATTTAACATGTCAACAGCTTTGCTATATTTCTTTTCATAACCCTTAATATGATGTTTGATAGTGGCGGACAAAATAAACGGACTTGTTGTCATTCCAAACGGCACTCGGCACATTCGGAAAACCTTAAAGCCTAAACTATTGTCACTATCGTCGTAAGAATGATCAAACCACAAGAACCTTAAAAAATTTCTATCTTCACTATCAATTTGAATTTGGTGAAAAGCCTTCTCTATGTCTGCACAAAATGCAACTTTATGTACGCGAAATTTTAAAATTATATCCAACAGGTTAGGATTTAAATTAGGGCCTGATATCAAACATTCATTTAACGATTTAGCTCCTTCAGACTTAGAGGAGGCATCATAAACTATTCTTCTTATTCTTGTTGTTACTTTTCCTTCACGTATAACGGGCCTATGAGGCATATAATAACAGTTAGGTTCATTTTCAACAAACTTACATTGTTCAACAATCCCCCTTTTAACTTGTTCTCTAATTATATTATCATATTCATTATATAGGAAATCATTTCCCTTTAATTTATGCTTTAGTCCTAGAAATCGTTGTTTAGCAAAGAAAAAATTATCAGCGAGTTGTGATTTATTTTCCTTCCAAAAGAGTTTTGTTTCGTACCTGCCATTGTTAAATTTTAAACTGTCATTAAAATGCTTAATAGTACCCAAATCGATTTCCGAAAATGTTTTGTTTTCATTTTCAATTCCTCTCGAATCCAATTTCCAAAATGACTGCAAATCAAATGTGTTTCCTTCAACGGTAGATAAAAACAACGCATTAATTCGAGTATTATTATTTTTTACTTTACCCATCACTGTGTATCCAAATATCATCGGTACAATAAACAAACCATCATTTATCATTGAATTACTTCCTGTTTGTATATACCAGAAATGCTCCGCGCCAAGCAGAATATTTATGATCTCATTAACTGGACTTGTATCCGAAAGTTCCAAACCCTTTTTAGTCATAAATTCTTTAATGTTTTGACATGTTGATGGTGCCTGGAATTCTATTGATATGATACAGTGTCTCACAAAAGTGATG